TTTATAAGGCATTTAAAAAACCAATTTCTCAACACATGTCGTGATTATCTACATACAACAAAAAAAATCATTAAATCAATTACCAAGTTAAAAATATAATTTTAGAATTAAACTAAAACAAATATATGTCAATGTACAAAAGAATGATTATATTGACCAAAGCTCATAAAATTGTTAAGTTAAACTTGTAACTTAAATCAAAATTAAAAATAAAAAAAACTGGGTGTTAGATAATACAATCAGGAGGAGTAGACTTTTTCTAGAAGAGACAAGTAAGAAAACATATAGCCATTCATTATTTTGGCTTGGGTTGCGCCTTCCTATATATAACAATGATTTTTAATTTATACTAAGGTTTTTTTTTATAGTTGTTGATTGAGTTTGGCTGAGTTAGAGGTCTAACTGAGTCATAACTGTCTTCCTCTTATTAAACCATGTTGTTTGATTACTTCTCTGACTGATTGTGCCAAATGTTGAATATAACAATTTTACCCTTCTGTTTTTTTTTTTGTGCTTACTAAAACGTTTCAATTGACAAATTATCAGAATAAAATCGCAAAATAATTTTGTAAATAAAAATAGCATACAAAATCCAAATTCTAGTCCAACATTATGCAACCAGATTCAACTATTATACTAAAAATCGGTAGAAACTACTAAATTCTTTATTTTTTGATAAAAAAACGCCAAAGTTGCAGTTGAGGTAAAATCATTACATGAACAACAAATTAAACTAACATGTGTTTCATATGGTTGATATATGATGGAAAATGTTAACCAAACGGAAACATCCTTGAGCATTTTTCTTTCCTTGATCACCTTGATGCAAATTGTTCATTACCCTCTATAACTTTCCCTTTCTTGAATTTAAGCCTTCAAGGTCCGTCTCAGATTGAAGATCCAAAATCTTTCCTCTTCTGATTAATGTAGCAAATGTAAAAACTAAAAGAGTTATTAATTATACGACATTATCACCATCATCATACAAGCATAATAAGGAGACACAAGATTTTTTTTTTTGGTGGTTTTGTTTGAATCATAATTTTAGTTTTCTTTTGGCTATTGATTCTTTGGTTAGTTGGAGTTGACACAACGCCTTTTGAGTTGGGTTCAAGCCATAATAGATGTCACCGACCCCTAGAGCAATAGCAAAATAGAGATACACAGGGTAGATGTGGCAATGATATGTAAGTTATAGCTTACGATTCTTTTGGCTAAATAATTTCAGTTTTAATTGATGAATGTTTACGGTTGTCAATCTCTACTGCTACCCTGTTTAAGGACACATTTGACCAATGTTTCCTAACTTCTAAAACATAGGCTATGGTTGTTTTTATATATGGTTCATGGGTTTTAGTGCCCAAATTTTTTAAAACTCAATTTTATTTCTTTCTTCTGGTAGTGATTATTATGGAACTGTATAAACAACATTACACTTTGTGACAACAAGTTTATATGGACAACATATGCCAAGTGCGGCAATGTTTTAATATTTACAAATTTGCTTACAAGCAGGAATTTGAGTCAAAGGGGGATTTTCTTTGTATCTATCATATTTGGGTCAGAAAATACATAACAAATACCATCTAGTTTGAGCGTATATAGAATCTATACAAATTTCAGAAAAGAAAAAAAAACAAATAAATGAATGATTATTTACCGGAGTTACAAGAAAAAGGCGGTGACAGAGGAGTGACGTAGGAATGTGCTAGTGGAGGAGTAGCGGAGGAAGATGTTGGAGATGTAAAAAGTGGTAGAGGAAGGCAGTTATTGGTCTAGTTTGATTGACTGAAAGATGGAGAAGGATAGAGGCGTGAGTTTTATCAAACACCCTTACTCGACTAAGTAAGAGGGAATATGCAAGCTATTTTCCAACCAACTATACTTTTTGGAGGACTCGGTAAGAGGCCAATGGACCGAATAAGAGGCTAAAGTTTGTTGTATCAAACACTCTTACTGGACTAAGTAAGAGGATAACCTCTTACTGGACCCGCTAAGAGGTAAACCAAACAAGCATTAATTATTATATTAGTATTAATAAGGTTGTTAAAAAATTTGATTTTGATCATAGGATTCTACAATTATACTTAGGTAAATCGATCATGATAATATATGAATATTTTTTTTATAAGATTGGAGTAGGATCGTAAAATCTTTATTATTTATTCAGATTTGTATTTTGAAAACTAAAATCAATTAGAATTCATTTGATATTATTTATTCAAACGAAAACTTTTATTTAAACCCAATGAAACCCTTAAATATACTTTCCTCTCGAAGATCATACTACCAACGATGGTCGATCTTAATTTTTGTTTGTAATTTAACAAAATATAAACATGTTATCGATTCTAAAATAAGTTTAGTATCTCTTTTGTTTTTTCAAAATAAACGTAACAATTATTTTCAATGATAAAGGTACAAGATATTCGTTAATGCTAACGTTAAACTTGATTAAGAAGTTTATATTGTACTACTTTTTTTTTAAGAAATTCGATTAATAATGATTTTTAAAAAAAGAAAAACTGAATTGTGTTCTAGAATTATGTTAATAAATCTTTTAATCCAGATATTAATCGCAAGCCGACCTTAGCTCAGTTGGTAGAGCGGAGGACTGTAGTGTGTTCATAGCTATCCTTAGGTCGCTGGTTCGAATCCGGCAGGTCGGAATTGTTTAACTAATTTTTGGTGATTGTATTTGATTTTATCTCTTTAAATATTTAACTAGAAGTTTTGTAAATAATATATTTAAATTATCGAAAATATAGAAAATTAGTAAACTAGCCAAAAACACTAATTACCTATTCATTTTTAGCCAAAAATTAGAAGTTATCTATATTTAGGCATTAAAACCGTAGGTTTGTTAATTGAGCTACTCTTTCGAGTTAAAACCCACTCTTTTGTTTTTAGCATAAAAAATAAAATCATTTTTGAAATAAAAAAAAATTAGGAGTTATCTATATTTAGGCACTAAAACTATAGGTTTGTTAATTCGACTACTCTTTCGGGTTAAAACCTACTCTTTTGATTTTCGTATAAAAAATAAAATCATTTTTGAAATCAAAACCGTAGGTTTTAAGACATCTATGGTTTGTTCTCAACGACATACGGTTTCTTATTGAGTATTTTACACGAAACCCACTCTTTCGACAAGAAACCTACGGTGTACAAGTTGTCAAGGCATAAATTGTGCATTAACTACTTGTACATCGTAGGTTAAAAAAAATCATCATATGTCTATCATAATACAATTATATACAAGGTAGAAGCAAAAAAAAATCGGAAAAACGAAAAAAAAACAGTAGGTTCGTACGATACCTATGGTGTTCAAGCATTCGATGCACAATATGTGCATTGTTTACTTGTACGCCGTAGGTTTCATATGAAACCTACGGTTTCATAATTTTTTTTTTCGGTTTAAAAAAAAAAGACTATAGGTATAAACTCTAGTCCTAATCGAGAATACGCTAAAATTACAGCAAAATCCGAAACATAACTATTTGTTTTTTGAAGACTCCATTAAGAGAAAAAATAGTAGTCCAATTGCTTTAAAAGAATACACAAAATGACCTAAATTAAAAACTAACACTTTATATACTATCGGCCGATGGCCCCTTAAAAAGTAGACGATCCATGAAACAGTAGCTCATTGCCCGAAATAGTAGTCAGTTTTTTTTTTTTTTTGACCGTAGTCAACTACATTCGACCGTAAACATATGGTTTGACCGTAAGTTTCTCTAAGAAACATACGGTTTGTTTGACCGTGGGTTTTTCTAAGAAACACAAAGTGAACTATTCTTTCGCCTTTAACATACGGTTTTAGTGGCTAATATGGGATAATTCGTATTTTTTTGGCTAAAAATTGATAAATAATTAGTGTTTTTGGCTAGTTTAGTATTTTTTTCTCTTGGAAATATACCTTTTGCATATTTTTTTATTTCCGTAATTAGTTAGATTAACTCAACATAAATCACAATTAGGGGTTGTTTGGTTGGTAGGAATGAAATGGAATTTGAGGAAAAAATATTTCAATTCTCTTAAATTCATGTGTTTGGTTTAGCTTTAAGAGAAGAAAAATGAATTCTTAATGAAATATTTTTCCTTAAGATGACGGAAAGTTCATTCCTTCACCATCTCAAGCGAATTAATTCATTTATAACATGGAAAATAGTAGATTACGATTTTGCCATCGCTAAACATCATCTTACACTTCATCAATAAACCTAACATCATATTCTTCCCACTCTCGTTCAACCGACAACCCTCTTTTGCACGTCTTCTCCACTTTGTTACAGGAGTCGCCCAACGACCTTCATCGCAGGTGATCTCTCTCTCTCTCTCTCTCTCTCTCTCCCTCTCTCTCTCTCTCTCTCTCTCTCTCTTCGATCAAATGTTACATTCGAACCAAACAACCCCCTCTGAAGTCGACCTCAAACAGGGCTGTTGTGACATCGCTGCTATGACAATCTGAAAAAAAGCCCTTTTTTTTTCTATTCAATAGCTGCTAATAACATTTTTCTGAAATCACTGTTATTAATCTTGCTCTGAAATCGTTTACATCAGGGGAATGTGAAAAAAAAAACATGTGGTTTCTTGCTAAATCGATAGAACAGAAACTTGTTGCTGAACATTATAAAAGTATATTTCAGAAATATGTTGTAATCAAATTATACCATCTTTCTGTTGAAATCGAACCAAACAATCCCATATATATATATATATATATATATATATATATATATATATATATATATATATATATATAAAAGTAGGTTCATGTATATAATTGTGTAATTAAAAAATTGGATTTTATACAAAAAAAAAATAAAGAACCCTAAACCATATGGATATGACTCTAATTTACTGGAAAACGAATATTGGTTTAGCAACACCTAGCAGTCTTAACTAAATTTAAAAGGACTGAGACGGTAAGAGTTTAATAGTGGAGGGTGTAATTCATCAATACTAAACACCCACATACTTGATTGCATTCATATTCAATCCCCTCTGCTAGGGTTTCTATTTTAGCCCTAAAACCCACACACGTTATTCTACTCAATTATTCTGGAAAAAAAAGCGATTCATCAAAGAAAAAACAAGTCCCAATCTAGGTAAGTTTCTGTTTATGTCGCACGACGACGCCTACCATGGGTAGTTGTCTTTGTTTTATGTGAATGTTTTTAGCCGATCGGATGATTCGGTTTTGAATATGACACAGGGTTTCTGTATAATATGTCGCTATTTGTTTAAATTAAATTTTTGTAGGCATTTTGATTGTTAAACTCGATGGCTGGAAAAGATTCTGACTACCGTATATTTGTCGGAGGGCTATCATGGGACGTTACTGAGCGCCAGCTTGAAGGCGCCTTTGGTCGTTTCGGAAAAATTATCGACTCTCAGGTTCCTTGCTTTTCTTATCTTTTATGATTTGTTGATTAATTGGTAAATTTACATCCACGTTAAGATTAATTTATGAGAAAGTACGTGGAAGAACAGATTTACGATTTTTAAGGTCCTAATTTTGATATCATTATGTTCTTTCAATAAGCCTGAGGGGTCGTAATTTGGTGTAAATTTTAGTGGGTCTTTTGGATTTTGTAAGGAGGGTGTAGGGAATCCGAGTCCTAAGGATAATATGAATGTCAAATGTCTAGTGGTTGTAAGTATTTTCTGATCATAAGGTGGCTTAGCTGTTAACCTTACTTATTTGGCATTGTTACGGGTTTGCTTAGCCATCAGGAAATTTAGTTAGACATGAGTCTTGTTTGAATGTGTTTATGGATTTATGCAACTCTGTAGATGCGAGAGAAACAAATTTATGTTTACCAAGATTGTTAGTTTTTTTTTTTTTTTCTCATTAAAAAGTTAATCTTAAATATTATTATTGTAAGTCAATGATTTTCCTTTGGTGCTTCTGTTATTAATAATCTGTTTGTTTGTTTTCTTGCTGGAATGCTGGTTCTGATCTTTGGTTGCTTAAGATGGATTTGTTTACAAGAAACTGTGGGTTCTGTTGGGTTGAACTGCTGAAGCTCACTTTCGTTTTTATGCTTTGCTTTGTTCAGTTGGTTGTTTTGAAATAGAACATCTGTATGTCAACACGTTGCACAATCTTATTAAAAGAAGCTTGTATCAGATATGCCCGTTTAAGTAAGCTTGTGATCTGCTTTGAGAAAGTACGTGGTTTGAGACACACATGGATATCTATCAGCAGTTTTGGACTTCTCATATGTATTATTAACATGCGGCTGAACCTCTGAAAAGTCAAAAAGATTTAGCAAACTTCATGAAGCTAGTAGCTTTTACTAAAGCTAATCATTTTTTCATTCGTTGTTGACACAAGTGCTGCCTTTTGTTGATTAGGATTTGAAGTCGAATTATCCATATATAATACCAAATGTTTTGGGGATTGATTAAAAAACATATTCTTGAATGCACTGCACCTGTGATAGAGAAAAGACTCACTACCCAATCACTAAAGAGCCATTGGACCAGTAACTTGGAAGGTGTACTCAAGGAGGAAGTCCAAAACCAAAGGACAGGTGTAGGGTGGTAAGAGAGGACACATGTATGGTGAGATTCTAGTTTCTGAGAAGTTCATGTGTGGTTGTGCTTCGATATGATTACTATTGATTAGATTAATACACCTTCTGTTCTTCTTCTGGCATATACTTTTTTGAGCTTTTTAGAACTTGAGCACTCAGATTAACACCAGAGTTGCTAGGGTTAAGATGCCCATGCTCTGTTTTGTCAGGAAAGAGTGACAGAGGTCAGTTATGCATCTGTTTTTGAGCAGTTTTCATTAAATAATACGTACACTGAAAGTCAGATTGGTGGTCTTCATCATTTAGCAGAAGATTAGGGTACATAGTATTCTTTTGTGGGAGGATTCTCAATGGCTGAAGCTATCTTTGTGCTCGATTTTGCATCCTGTTCTGCTGGAGTTTCATTTATCTTAGCACTTGTTTCAAGTAGATTTCTTTTCTGTTGCTTATGACAAGTCCATGATGGTTAGTTATAGTGTAAGTAAAACATAGTGCCTCCTAGACTCAACCCTCAAAAGCACTCGCCTTCATTTCCAATATCCTGATTTGCAGTGTTGTAGAGCACCGTTTGTGAAAGCAATTACTACTACCAGGGCTTTTTGTTTTCCATGCTGATTCATGTACAATGTAGCAGCTGTTGGTAAATGGGACAATGTGATCCGGATTGACACTTTTTGGTGAAGGTTTCCAAGATTTCAAGCTAAAGCTGCTATCTTTATCCCAATGATTTTTAGCTATATAGAGCTTCTTCTTGCTGTTTAGCGTCTTATGTTCAAGAAACTACCTGGCACCGATATAATTTATGACACCAAAAATATGATGAAGTGGCAATAGTGATGTATGTTTCCCTGAAAGATGAGATAGTAAAAGATCCCTTAAGTTGTCCAAAGTGGGGAAGAAAGAAGAAATTGATGACCTTGTTATGTTATAAAATCTTAGAAATTAAGCTAAAACAACAAAAGTAATCTTATCATCAGCTGAACTTCTGTGGTTAAGTCATCCCAAGTGCTGTAATGTATGTTATGCGGGCTAAGAAAATTCCAGTTAAGATCTGTTATTAGTAACAGTAGTAAGTAAACAGTGAGAAAGAAAAGAAGAAATTGATAAGTGATTTGGTGCAGAGTGCCCTGAATCTGATCTACTATTATAAATCCTAACAAATTAAGTTCTTTATCGGCCAAATTGATATAGAGGTAATATCTTAAACCATGTCATATTTCATCTTTTAGTATTCTTTTATCGTGTAACAACATAAGCAAAAGTTTCTTCTCTCTCTCTATTGAATGCCTGTTATAATATATAATATGTTAATTAGCCATACTTATAGGTTATCATGTTTCAAGAGTCAATTGTTAGTTTCTTGTGTTATAAGTTGAAACTTGTATAACTTGTTATTAAGCATGATCTTGATGTAGATAATGCTTGAAAGAGACACCGGGCGTCCACGTGGATTCGGGTTCATAACATTTTCAGACCGTAGAGGCATGGAAGATGCAATCAGAGAAATGCATGGAAGTGATCTTGGGGAACGAGTCATCTCCGTCAACAAGGCTCAGCCTAAAATGGGCGGTGATGAGGCGGCAGATCACGGTTACGGTGGAGGCTATCCGTCGTCAGGCGGTAGAGGTGGTGACAGATCTATGGGACAGGACGAGTGCTTCAAGTGTGGCCGCTCAGGACACTGGGCCCGTGATTGCCCTTCAGCAGGCGGTGGCGGTGGTGGTGGTGGCCGGTTCTCTTCCCGCCCCAGGTTTGGTGGTGGCTATGCAGACCGTGAACGTTATGTGGATGATGGAGGGCGTTTTGGGGATAGAGACCGCTATGATAGTCGAGATAGCAAGTATGTTGGAAGCCGCAGTCGGTATTCTAATGATAGGTATGGTATCTAGAATCCTTGAGTGGAGATATTTTGAAATGACTGTTTTACCCTTTAAACAATAAATATTTATGTATTTTGGCGTTTGTTTGATTTAATAGGTACTCACCAAGTGGAGGTGGAGATCGGTTTGGAGGCGATAGATATGGAGTCCCGGAACGTTACCCACCACCACCACCACCACCGCCACAGAGCGGGTATGGCAGGGAGAGAGACTATGATCGGGAAGTTGTCCCAAGGAGGAGCAGTGACAGATATGGTGGTGGTGGTGGTGGACCTGCACGTTATGAAGGAAGAAACTATAGGGATAGAGCTGGTCCATATGACCGGCCCAGAAGGGGAGGTGGCCGGCCATCTTCTTTTGACTACTGAAAAGTTTTCTTGTTATCTGATATGCTCAACGATGAAACCTTTTATCCATCCGCTTTTGAGATTGGGTTAGTTAGTTTGTGAATCATTCTCATCTCAGTTGAGGTGGTTAATAAAACCTTGTGCCACTTTTTCTTCTACTAATTTATTTTCAGTCGGCTCCTAAAAGTAAATTATTATTTCATGTATGCCTTCTACTTTATCTAAACAATTTTTTGCCAACAAGTCTATATTTTGAAATTCGTCAACAATACATCCATACACTTGAATAAAATTTGATTTTTCTAATTGCCTGCTGGAGCTGTTGGTTCTTGCTTCCTCGCTTTGTACATTTCAGATGTTATTAGCATTTAGCAAGAAATTACATGATCTTGGCGATGCGTTTAGCTACTTCATCTCATGACTCTCTTTTATTCTTCCCTATGACTATATTTTTATTGCGTTCTTGTTCTTCATTATGTCAAATAATCATATAAAATTGTCTGCTATCGACACAGATAACATTTTAAAAATGGGTAAAGTAGAAACACATGTAAAAATATTAGGCAGTACTCTAAAATATTTTATTGTTTTTTCTCTCGATCGCTTCGTTGCCATGATCATCTAAATTGATTCATATTACTTTACCTTTACCAAGCTTGAGATGGGCCTGAAAACCTGATCCCAAACCTTATTGTAATTGTAATGTATAAAGCTGGTAGAAATTTATTGGACTTGAAAAACTGGAACTAGCTCATCCTTAAACCGAGCCTTATAATAATCATTCTAAAGTCGGTTACTGATTTTGATGTACATCTCTAAGTAAGGGCGTTCACAAACCACTAACACTGTACTAGACCGCATCATATAACACAGTTTAGTTATAAAAGATTAAATCCTAGAACTAAGATATCAATTTATAGAGTATCTTCAAGGAATGGAAGCATATCAAAAAACTTCTTGGTGTATTCGTCAATAGTAAAGTTGTCTAGTGCAAAAAATAAAATAAAAAACATTGATCAGTTTCTAGTCCCATGTCTATGCCTATGTATATGCTAAACAAAACTTTGTCTTTAATCTTTCCACAAATTCTTCCCAAGTGAAGGAAGACACAACATTATATTGTAGAGTTCGATGGAGTGTATTTCACCAAGTAAGGGAATCATCTTTAACATTTGAGAAGCGTATCCCACCTTTCGATATTTTTCACAACGACACATACGAAGAATTTGCTCCACATTTATGCTATCCAACGAATGGTCACTTTTGGATCAAGCACACCATTAAATTCTTTAGGTCTGCAAGATAAAAGCTTTAAAAGTACATCCCTTGGGTGCATCTTGGGATGGGGGAGGAGACCCTCCTTGAGTGTTAGACTTTAAGTAACACCATCGAGAGTTCTACTTATAGTGTAATTTTCTGATTGAGTTCGAGAATGGGTTCCCAAACTTCATAAAGTAAGCGGTGCATCTTATATATTGGTTATATTCTTGTACATGATGAAGAGAAATGGTGGAGAGTGTGGGCCTTTTCTAAAATTCAAATAACTAATATGATTAAATAAAAAATAAGTCAAATGGATAAAACAATATTTTCAATTTTGATTGGACAAAACCCAACCAAATTACATTAAAAAAACCAAATACGTAGTTTTTAAACTCAGATTATTATTATTATTATTTTTTGAAATTTTCTCTAATAAATGCAGATAAAATGACAAAAACACCTGAATTTTCTATTTTTTTTTTCGAAATAACCAAAAAAAAAAATGACAAAAAACGATACCGAGTATCGAACCAAACTAATATTACTGGTACTTGTGTATCAGGAATGGTACAGGTTTTTGGTACTAGCATCGGTACCGACGATACCGAATCCTAAATCTTGTGATTTTTGAATACTGAGTAACGTCATATATGTTTAAATTCGATATCGGTTTCGATATGGTAACAATGAAGCCTACGGTGTACAAGCAATTAATGCACGTTTTGCATTACACCGTAGGTTTCTTATGAAGGCTACAGTTTTGTTTTTTTTTTTTCAAAACAAAACATATCTATTAAATCTCCTCCCAAACAAGAAAAACAAAAAAAAATCGAAGATTCAAAGACAAACCTGATCGTCCTTTGAAGACTCCATTGAAAAAATTTTCTTACCTTCAAACACAGAAACACACAAAAAAAAAAAATGAAAATTACAACTTTATACTTTATATCGTAAAAAAGTAAATGGTACGAAAGAGTAGTCAACTGATCGTAGTCAACCTTAAGTTGATCGTAGTCACCCATACGTCGACCGTAGGTATCGTTAATTATTATTATTATTATTATATATATATATATATATATATATATATATATATAAGTTGTGGAAGAAAGGAATAGTAAACTTGGGATACTTTGTCCAAGTTTGGTCCATTGATTTACATATCCGGTCATGTACTTTTTTAATTAATTTATTCATGTCCTTTTGTTTGTGTTTCATTCAACTTCCCATTTTTTTGGCAGAATTGGTCCCTGTATTATTGTTGGAAGTTATGAATACTAAATTTGGATGTTTTTTGGCAACTTTGGTCATTATTCTTTACCCATTTTGACACTTTTCGTCATTGCAATCAATATTTTTACACTTTTTTGGAACCTTTTAATATTTAAAGTTTGGCCACAAAACTTTAACGGTTTGACAACTTTGATCATTTTTCTAAAAAGTTGCTAATTCCTACCCCTTTAATTCTTTAGCCATTTTCACACTTCTGGTCCTTGCAGTCAAAACTTTTACATTTTTTTCCGGGGCAAAGCCGGGACTTTTCATCCTTGCACTTTCTATGTCTGTCATATTTATCAATTCGGAAACATCATTGAAAGCTTCTGGACCCGCGTAGCGGGGTAACCTTTCTAGTTGGCATTAAATCTCTCTCTGTATCTCTTGCTATCAGGGGAAACCCCCCCAAAATTTGTCTACAGACTACAGACTACACCTGAAAGAAAAAATGGCAGGTAAGGGAAAAGGAACCGCAGCAGCAGATTATTTATCGGGGAAACGGACGCGTGACGGAGGCCAGAAGACAGTATTTCGGAGTGACTATGTGTTCAATTCTCGTGACGTGGAAGATTCTAGAAATGGCGGTATAAATATTAACATTAATCTGCCAATCATCGTCACTTGTTGGAATGGAATGTATCTAGCTTTTAGGGTTTCATGGAAAATTTATTTTGTTGTTTGAAAATATATATCCTTCTACTTCTACCATTTCCGATCATCATCAATAACATGAAGTAACTTAAAAACTGTGGTTTGTTTCTCATTTATGGCCTACATATATGTGTTTTCGCTAGTCCTGTTCCTTGTATTTAAGGCATATTATTAATAATGTGAACTCCATCTTGCTACGAGTGCATGAAAAGGAGAATGGCCTACAAGCTTTAGTTTTTTTTTTTTTTTTTTTTTTTCTATAATCGAGTTATTCCTTGCACTTTGTTTAAACTTTAGATCACATACTATGTTATTCTAAGATTCTTTTATTATCTTCCATTTTGTGTCTTCGTGTCTACTTGTCACTCATTTAGTTTTTGTTCCTTTTCTGATGCAGTGTTTCTTAAAAATTACTTTGGTCAAGATCTCGGAGCCCAGGCTGGACCAAAGACGCCTAGCATTCCCGTTTTTCCCAAAAACGAAGAGAGATATGAAGAGAATCAAGACAAGTTTCTTGAAGAGCATTATAAACAATGCATGTTCTAATTTTGTTAAATACTCTTCTTTCATTTTAGTTTTAATTTTTTATTTTATCAAAATTGATGGTTTATTTTTAAGAAGATGGATTTTAATTCCAAGTTGGGTTTCTGAAGTTCCACATTTGTTTACAGTTCGAAGCAAGTATGGTGGGGTATCCGTGGGAAGCTGGGCTCGTGTGAAAAGAGGGAAATACATGGGAGATCTAGCACAGGTACATTTCTATATATCTCACCCACATACAGAGCTCTTGCTATAAAGACGTATTTGCCCTTTTGCCCTTTTACCCTTTGCCTGGCTGGCATTCATGGCTAAGGTTATTTTGGGCATTTCTATTTTCTAGTTTCTAGCTATATATAGATTATTTTTTTCATTGTTTTAGTTATATGAATGAATGCAGGTTGTGAATGTGAATGAGTTTCAGAGGAAAGCCACTGTTAAGCTTCTACCGAGAATAGATCTACAAGCCATGGCTATAAAATATGTAACGAATTGTTACAGTTGCAAGTTTTCTATTGTCATTATCATATTATTTTCTTATTTCTAAGTTTTACGTCACTTGTAACATTGAATAACATTAAATTTGTGATGTTTGCGAGTATATATCTATATATTCTTCACTTTTTTGTTGACAGAGTGGCGAAGATACTGGGTACCAATATACATCTCCAGCTCCTAGACTTATCACTTCCAGTGAACTAAAGTACCACACTTCCTTTTTCTTTCTGAAATCTCTACATTTTTTGGGTCCGGCTTTTTCATCCATCGATCTATCTCACATTTTGTGTAGCGCATATAGGCTACGAGTTAGGCATAGCCTTGACCCTGAAACAGGAGATTTGTATGAGGTATTTGATGGAATGAAACTGAAGGATGGTTATGTCTTCAAAAAACTCTCCTTGGATTCGTTGAATTTCTCTAGCAAGCCTTCTGAAGCAGAGCTTAAAAAATTTAGTCCTGGCAAGGAACAAGAAGAATCCAATGATGTAAATAAAAAACAAACTACAAATAACAATCAAGTACAAGAGGGTTTGTCGAGCTCTGACACGGAGAATACTTTTGAAATTCCTGATCTTGTGAACCTCGGGTGTGTATAATACTGTATATGATCAACAACACTTTTTAATTATTATTTATGTTTTCTGGTTTGTAACTTCGTTCACAGTGGCAAGGCATTTGGAAGAGAGAATGATGCCTCTGAAGCTAGGTTTGTGGAAAAACTAAGGAGTGGAGCAAAAGAGTTGAGTGGACTGATGGAGGAAGCGGCTAGCAGATGTTTGGGGAGGGCATCTGTTGAGGATCAGCTTCGATGTGCCCTTGAGGAGTTGCAGTCATGCAAGGAGAGGGTTTCTGCTGCAGAGGCGGAGCGTGATACCTTACGTGATCGTCTTAAGCTTGATAGGAAGAAGATTTTTGCTATCTTCAGGAGAATTTTGGATACAAACTTTGACTTGTTCCCCCGTCTCAAAGAAGATGT